TTCTATTCAATATATCCCATTCCATATCTTCCATCTAATTCAAATATTATTCGGATCTATTGGTTAATAATCTTCAACAACTAGCTAGTGTCACCTGAAATAGTATAGGGGCTTCCTACGGACGCAAATCTGCTGCTAAACAGATTCGCATCCCAATCGATGGGGCTAATTGGGGTCCTCACACAACGCCCCAGCGGTGTCAATCGAGAAGCAAGAGAGACCTCAAACCCTCAAGACCATCCTCGAAGGAACGACGTCACAAGAGGTTTTCTACTTCCATAGTCAAAAGACTCGCTACTTCCAAATGTCAGCTCTGTGACAAAACACAACATTACACAGCCGGCCGGCCTATCAACAACTGACTGACCTGCCGCCTGCCGAGCTAAGCCTCCTCTTACATCACAATTAGTAGTGGGAACTATCGAATGAATACTATCGAAACATTCGATAGTTGCAATTCATTCGAATAATTCGATAGCTAGTAAGGAAACATTCGTCGAAAACTATTCGAATAAAAATTATCGAATAGTAATTCGGCAGCAAAAACCATTCATTTATAAAATTCATTCATTTATCAAATTCATTTATTCGTCGGGATCGATTTTAATAAAATATAAACTGGATTTTAGTTGTCGTCCGGCGACGTAGGTTTCTTTCCTAGAAACCCGACAGCGGTCGGTGGCAATGCTATGAAAGAAGCCGGCATCTTTGATTTTTGCGGAGTCAAATAAAGATAAGGACATTATTATTTTTTATTGAGGTGCTAGTATTTACACAGAAAATATATTATGAAGGGCGCTGTTGCCATATATTTGTATTAGTTGGTATTAGCAAAGAATATTATTCTTTAGCATTAGTTAGGTAGGGATAGTATGTCTATATGTTTTGCATTTTTTAATTAATATTCTGTTGTTACACTGCTATAATACTTTTTATTTTGGATGTAGGAAAATGATTTTTAATGTTTTTAAGCAAAGACTGGTTTAATAAATAATAATAACAGTAATAATTTGTTATACCTATTAACAACAAAATTTACAATCATTTAATAATATAAACATTTGTTTTAAGTAGTAGCAAAAAATATAAACAACAAATAGAAGTCAAAAGTATTTATATTAGATCCTATTTAAAAATAATATAGTCTCTAAATGGCAACGTTGGTTTATTAAATAATAATAATTACAGAACTAATTTGTTATATTAACAACAAATTTTAAAATCATGAAATATAAACATTTATTAATTTTCTAAGCATGCAGTGTAATGGAAGGAAAATATAAATAAAAAATTAGAAATCAAAATTATTTATATTACTTTTTATTACTTTATATTATTATTTAAAAATAATATTTACTTTTGCTGGCATTTACTTTAAAACATAAAATGAAATATTTCTTCGCAAAAAACTACATGTAAGAGAATTAGCATAAACAAAATACATTGTTAACTTTTTTTTTAATTGGCACGTGTAAAACTTTCAATTTAATTTTCTCACCCCAAAATTTGAGTTAGACAACAATTTACTTAACCACATTACTTAAATATGATTATTAAGTTCCAACTAATTCATATTATTAAAACATCTAAAATACAAATATGTATTTTTAAAATTAATTGTAAGTTCATCTCATCTCTGTTAAAAATTGCTACTTCTCAAAATTTCCCTTTAAAAAAATGCAATCTAACCTAACCATAATATACCATATAAGATTAAATAATTGAAAGATCGGGCTACGGAAAATCACACAAATTTTCGGAAAAATTTTGACCACTTCGCACACAATCGTCAATTAAAAAAAAACTACTATTTTAGTATTTTAAATATTTTAATAAACGCAAAAATAGCTTAGTATTTACAAGGCGAAGTTATAAAAATTTGGAAGAGCTAATAATGCACTGACGCACACAAAAATCAAACGAATACTAAATTTCATTTATCAAAAGCATTCGATAGTCGTGGCGCAACGATAACCATTTAGTCGCACGGCGAGGTTGTCACATATGCTTTAGTATACAAATGAATGAATGATTTTATTCGAATAAAACCATTCATTCAGTAACCATTCGATAGTCTAATTCATTCGATAGTTCCCATCGCTAATCACAATTTTACCTGATCACAAATATTTACATCGCTTGCCAATGAATCATACTGTTTTCTCTAATCGACTTTCAAATAGAGTGTTTTAGCATTACCAAATAAATAAATAGAGAGTGTCCGAAGGAATGCATATTGTTGATTAGAATAGTGAATAAATAAAAGCATTATTATGACGAACTTATTTTCCAAGTTTTACATAACCTTTCTTTTTCTTGGTATGTTCTTTGCTACTGACCTTTTTCTCTTGTTCGTAAAATTGTGTCGAACGTTTAATGTCATTTTAAGGTTGTATCTTGATATTTTGTGGATTTCGATATCCTTGATATGTATGCGCTTAACACTACAGTTGGGGGTTGGAACCTTTGGTGTTACAACAGAAAAATAAAACACTAATTCACTACAATCCTTGTATATGAATTTTTAAAGTAGCTCAACTTAAGACGTTTATGGCTGTAAAGCACCAGATGGCGGGGCGTATTTCACAGTCTTACTACAGAAAATTTTTTTGTTACTCTGAATTTTGAAGCGACCAATAAAAACAGAGAAAATAAAAATCGATAATTTTCGGACTGTGCCAATTGGTTACTAATCGACCAGATACTTTTTGTCTATTAGATATGCTATTAAAAGCTGGTAATTATACAATTCGACCATTGTAAATACCCGACAAATTCCGCAAGGCCGACGATGCCGATGCTTTTTACTGATAAGAAAAAAAAATGTTTGTTCAGATAATTTTCGAGATATTTTTTCTTTCTGAATGCACATTTTTAAAGTATTTTATATTCTTTGTCCGCTTGATCTATTATACTGGTCGCACGAAGTTCTGTTTCTTCTAGTTTTAAAAAATGTTCTTATTTCTTTATAGCTGTAGTGGTTGTAGTGTAAAATTAGATTAACTTTTTTAAGTTTAATTATAATGTTTAGTGTAGAATACCAGAAATAGTTTAGTAGTGTTTTTATAGTTTATTATTTTGTAGTTAAGTAGTAGGTGAAGGGATAATTTGGTTATTTTTTCTTTTTGTTTGATTAATTAGTAAGTTTGATAATTTTTTCAGTGTAAAATACAAGAAGTAGTTGTGTAGTGTTTTTATAAGAGATTATATTCGTTTATTTTGTAGATGAGTAGTAGGTGAAGGTATTTGGGTATTTTTTCTTTTTGTTTTTCTTCTAATTGTAGTAATTCTATTATGTATTGTGATAGATACATATCTTCCTTCAACTTCGTTGAAAAGTGCGTTATCATATAATTTTGGTTTTCTGGTAGTAAATATGAAAAAAAAATCAGATCAAATTTATTGTAAATTAAATTAATCGAGTCTTATTAATCAAATTAATCTAGTCAAATAATAATAATAGTTAGTTTCTAAATACTATACAAGGTGAGTTTCCTACGATGTTCTCTATGGGTATCTCGGAAACTACTGGAGATAGAGAGTCGGTTAAATGGGGAAAGAATTGCAGTTTTGTGGGGTCATAAATATGCGCCTTTCGGATTTTTCGGAGAAGTTCAAGGCTTACTAGACATTTCGAAAAAAACGAATTTTGGCTATTTTAAAACTTGTCTCTAATACCATTATAATCTACCGTATAATCGAATAAAAACGGCGTCAACAATGGCTATGAAATGAAGATCGTTGTCATTTTATATGTAAAATTATATGAGAAATATCATCGATCGGGAGATATCATCGATCGATAAAAGTTGTAGATAATCACATACCTAATGAATTTGTGTTTTCTGTTTTTTTTCTAAAGCCTGTCATTTTTGACATATGACACAAACATTATGTTTTTTATTTATTTTTAAATGGAAACTCTAGAAAACCCCCTGACTTCATTCTTTCATTTCTCAAAGCGCCATTCTTTAAGCTTTTTTTTTATAATATGTTTTTTTTTTCGAAAAATTACGAGTTATAGCCAATTCTTTTCTTTCTTGACTAATTCCCATACCAATAATACCATGCCAATTATTAGTTGGCATCAAAAATGTAAAAAGTTTTATGTTTTCAAAAAAAAATATCGTAAAATTAGTAAAGCACTCAATTTAGAATAAAATAATCTAAGAATGAAATGATTCTTTTATAAACCTGCATTAAATCAAATGAAAATAGGTATGTAACTTTTCTTTAAAAATTTATTAATAGCAATGAGCATTATCATAAATTATAAATAATGTACCAACATATCGAAATAATAATTTCTTTGTTAATACCGTTTAGAATTCTTAAAATAACAGACAAAAATAAACCACAATTTACAATAAAATAAAAGTTTCGTTTAAATTTCTTAATCAGCTGATCACTATTAAAGTTCGCAGAAACCCGGGCTATATTATTACATTACTCTGAGGAAAATAACGAAAATAATCGATATTTTTGACTCCGCCCCGAAAGGTTCACGATTTGTCCTCCAGTTGGCAGCACATTTTGTCTAGTGGGTTGAACAACTTTAAGAATATATAAACAAGGCTACAATACACCAAAATACTTTACTTTTAACACTGAACGTCATATTTTTTGCTGTTGTTAAAGTATCACATTTTCCAATAACTATTAACACGGGTAATAATCCTTAGCAATGAACTAAATACATTTTTCGCTTCTTTAACTTTGTCTTTAACATTTTAAAACAGCAAAAATTATGACTTTAATAGAAATTCTATCAATAAAAATCTATCAAAGAATAAAACCGACATTATATTACCATAAAACAGGTTTTGATTTTCAAAAAAATTCAACTATATTTTTGTTTTTTTTTTATTTTCTTTAAAACGGTATGGAAATTTAGAAAATTATAAAAAGGACTAACCACTTTAGAACAAGCAAAAAATTTTTATGAAGAATACATTTCTTTTTACAAAAGTTTTTCCTCTTGTAAAGACAATCCATGGACATACTGTATATATTCATTGAGAGTAACGTTTATATTTTGTGTCAATAAGAAACGTTATTCTGAAACTTAATTCGATGAAAGAACATATTTTAGCAATTGTAGAGGAAGACGAAGATTGCGATTGCGGTTTGAGGTCGCAATGTGAAAAGGATCCTTGCTGTGTGCCAAGACAAACTAGCGAACGACCGTGTAAGGTGAACAGGAAAGAAGGACACCAGTGTCATCCGTCGCAAGGAATTTGTTGTACCAAAGAATGCAAATACGCAGTACTGGACAACTTGGTAAAAACCTTAATTAACAAGTCAAACCTATTGAAAACTTATTTCTTTAGGTATTATTTTAATCTATTATTTATTTTTAATTTTTTCATATTTATTTTTAAAGCACTGTAAAAACTTTGAACGGAATTGTCCTTGTCCAAACGGAACAGAACCCTGTTATTGTGGAATAAGAGGTCGATGTATCAAAGATCAATGTCATAGTTACGAATGTACAAGAATAAACCTTGTAGAATGCGCGTGTGCAGCGGAATCTTGCCAGACATGTTGCCAGATAGGGAATCAGTGCGAACCAGCTCTGTCGGTAACGCGTGATTTATTAAACAAAAAGAATGATTCAGCTACGTTTAAATATTTTGTAAATCAAGTAAATATTAACAATAACCCTCCACAAACAAGACCAGATGTCGAAGGATATACTTATGAGGAATTTTGCCAGACAAACAATGGACAGAGAATATGCGTACGTACTCATTTTTTTATAGCTAAACCTGGACGATATTGCGTTAGTAGAGGCAATCTAGGAAAATGTAAGTCTGATAGACGAAACAAATTCAAATGCGAAATTCTTCCAAAGACACCAAAGAAACAAATATTTCCTCTGATTAGCGGATCATGGACTATACATTTTGGACAAGCCACAATCCTTCACATACTTGTACTAAATTCTATCTTCATTTTTATTGTCCCGAACTAAACAAAAGTATCTAATGTAATAATAAAAAATAAATAATTTACCAGCTACCTTTGATTTAATGTAATGGTTTAAACCAAAGACGTTAAGTAGTAGTTACAAAGTATTATTAGTAGTATATTATACAGGGTGTCGCAGAAATAAGTGCAAATATTTTAACTGGTAGTATAGTTCAACCCCAGAAACACGCCTAGGAGGTTTTTTTGCGAAAAAAAAATGTTGAAAATTTAAAATTTTTCTTGACATTTTCCGGGAAATTTGAAAAAACTTTTTAGTGCCACTTGTTTATTCACCTGTGATTTCTCCACGGTGTATCTAAACCTTGCAGTGTTGCAACCTCCTATATTATCCACATTCTACATAGTTCTACATTTATAAATTCATAAAAAAAATTCTACTCAAAAATTAGGAATGTTAAATGTTTATCAGTGCTCATTATTAATAAGTAATTTAGTCTTACCCTTTCAATGAAAACTTAACAAAAACCACCGAAAATTAACTAAAACATTACGTTTATGACGTTTACGAAAATGATTCATCATATTATTCACAACCAGGTCACAAAAAAGAAATTCCTAAAATGTTTATCGTAATTTAGAATTCAATATTTGTTTTCTTTGATGTTTCTCTGTTTTATTTGAACCACTGATTTACAAAACACCTTGAAAAGCGCACATTACTTTGAATACCGTCTCTTATCGCCACTTTACGAACTACTTTCAATCTAAGACATGTTTCACTCAACAATTTTAAATACGTATTTTGTTTTTTCGCTATTTTTTCGATGTATTTTGACAGCCCAAACGTCGCGCGTCAGCCAAGATGCCACGTGTGAACTGGTCCTTTGAGCCGCGCCGTCGTGGCAGGCTTGCGTCAGACGACGATGTTAAGCAACGTTGCCGTAGTTAAAACAATTTCAAATTCAAGACATTCGAAGCAATCAAATTCGTATTAAATTTTAAAAACAAAACAGAGAAACGTGAAAGGAAACAAACAAAACAAAAATGAATTGATTATTCGTCGGGCTGTTTTCGATATATTGAATTCTGAATTACGATAAACATTTTAGAAATTTCTTTTTTGTGACCTTATCAATAATCAATTCTTTTGTGTTTTGTTTGTTTCCTTTCATGTTTTTCTGTTTTATTTTTAAAATTTAATAAGAATTTGATTGCTTCGAGTGTCTTGAAATTGTTGAAACTACGGCAACCTCGCATGACGCAAGCTCGACACGCCGGCGCGACAAAGAAGCAGTGAGCAATTACCAACCAGTGATGCGTGGCTGTCTTGGCCGACGGTTGGACTGTTGACGGAATTGTCGAAATACATCGAAAAAATAGCGAAAAAGCAAAATACGTATTTAAAATTGTTGAGTGAAACATGTATTTTCTTAGATTGACAGTAGTTCGTAAAGTGGCGGTAAGAGACAATAATTCTCAACATTTATTTATTCAGAAAGATATTCAAAGTAATGTGTAATGTGTGCTTTTCAAGGTGTTTTGTAAATCAGTGGTTCAAATTGGGATGAAGCCTATATGAAAATAATGTGTTAAGTTAAAAATGGGGACTGTTATTTTAGCAGTTTTTATAATAGCACGTACAAGTAAAGCAGCACAATGAAGTGTATTTTAGTTAAGTGTGTATCGAAAAAGAGAACTGTCGCAGTTACATCGATCTGTCATAAGTATCTTTTATATTGTTGGGTAAGTTTTTAAATTTAACTTTTAATTTATTTTATGTAATAATATCACAATCTTAAAAATGTAATGCATCTCTGCAAACTCCTCAGGTGTTGTGATTTTATGACTTACTTGTAAACATATACTTTCTTGTCCATATGGCAACACAGTGCGTCGAATTAACTGAAATCCGGGCTTGATCCGGGTAACTGGATGTAGTTGGCAATATCTGCCGGCGGTTCTCAAAATGTTGCGATTATTTTTTTAAATTTTCAAAGTTAAATAACTCGGTTATTTTCAATTTATTTTAAAAATGGTAAAGAGAAAATATGTTTATTTTGACCAGATCTACCACCCCTTAAAATATCTGCACTCATTTCTGGGACACCCTGTATAGTAAGTAGTTAATTAGTATTATTATTTAAAAAATAACATGTTTTAACTATACTCTGCTTTACGACTCAGTAATATTTCGACATTCGATGACAGAAAAAAGGCAGATGACGTCCATACCAATCCATTTATTTCATCCAAAAAAATTTCTGGTATTTTTTAAGTAAACTGTGGATGGGTTTATACAGGGTGTTTCAAAACAAATGCGAAAAACTTCAGGGGGTGATTCCTTGTTCAAAATAAAGGGTAGTTTGCTTCATAAACTTTGGGTCAAAATTCAACCATTAGGGAGATATTGCGGTACAAAGATGGCGGAAAAATAATGTTTTTATTTTTTATCTTGAAAACGAAAAGAGATAGACTAATAAAATTTTATGGAAGCATTACTGTTATGAAAACACACTTTCTGGTAATTTTTTCACTTTTTTAAAATGAGTGGAAGGGGTTGAAATAAACTACTTATCATTCTTGTTAACGAAATTTAAAGAAAAATCTTATCAAACACATGCAAAAAAATTAATTTGGATAGTTTAGTTTGTTTAGAAACTTTTTTATCTCTTGTATTTTTTTGAAAAAACTCACCGATTTGAAATTAAAAAAAAATGTGAAGCATTACATGTCAGGACAAAAAACATTTTCTGATAAAGAATCTAGTGGGCTGCTGTAATTTTTTTAGGAAAAAATCTAATCGGCCGCTGTTACTTTTTAGGATGTTCCTAATATTATTTTATTTGACATTACTCTACTGCAATACGTTATTATCTAGATGATTATTCTTATCGTTATTATCACTAGATTCTTTATCAGAAAATGTTTTTTGTCCTGACATGTAATGCTTTACATTTTATTTTTTAATTTCCAATCGGTGAGTTTTATCGAAAAAACACAAGAGGTAAAAAAGTTTCTAAACCAACTAAACTATCCAAATTAAAGCATTTGCATGTGTTTGATAAGATTTTTCTTTAAATTTCGGTAACAAGAATGATAGGGGTAGTTTATTTCAACCCCTTCCACTCATTTTAAAAAAGTAAAAAAATTACCTGAAAGTGTGTTTTCATAACAGTAATGCTTCCATAAAATTTCATTAGTCTATTTCTTTTCGTTTTCAAGATAAAAAATAAAAACATTATTTTTCCGCCATCTTTGTACCGCGATATCTCCCTAATGGTTGACTTTTGACCCAACGTTTATAAAGCAAACTACCCTTTATTTTGAACAAGGAATCACCCCCTAAAGTTTTTCGCATTTGTTTTGAAACACCCTGTATACCAGGTGCGTCTCAAAAGTGGCTCACCCCTATAACTTTTTTATTTTTTTCATTTAAAAAAACGAGATCTGGTATGTTAGTATATGACATAAATTAGGATTGGTTGATGTATTCAATTGTTTTCGGCCACTTCCTGTTTCACCGGAAATGACTACAACTTTTGATTTTCTAGACCCAGAGCACAGTTTATAGTTAATATTCGATGCCCAGAAAGTTGTATTACCCACCAATAAATTTTGTTTGTGTTATTTTAATAAACTGCACTGAAAATAAACTGGTGCACCTTTTAGATAACACGCTGTCAATCGGATATTGGTATTTTTGACGCAGTTATGCAATAATTTTACACACAGATACCAGCTTGGAATATGCAATAACCTAAATACAAATGATTATTTCCCTCGTCGTAAAATGGACCAATCAGCTAATCTAATTTTTCGAATAAATTTTGTTTAGATAAGTGATTAATGGCCGTTTGCACCAATTTGCTAACAGCGTTTATGTTATCACTGATTATACATATTTTAATCGATGATTATTTTTGTTACATTTGCACCATGCACAATGAAAGCTTGTTTAGTTAAACAGCGAATATTCTTGGCAACAACGTCAGACATGGATTGCGATGAAATTGTAACGTTTTTAGTTCGTTACATGTCTTTGATTATGATATATGATGTCTGGCGTATCATCACCGGATTCCCTATCGTTCCGGCCGGATAATTTATTTGACGAATTTTTACGTTCTCTAGTCCACAACCCTGTTATCGTTTGACACAACCCTGTTATCGTTCTGTGGAGGCGCTGTCAACATCGCTTCTGTCAACTCTCTGTGCTGTCGACTGACTTTTGCTTTTAGCGCTCTGTAGCCTAACCCAGGGGGTGACAGTGAAATAGGAAAATTGGAAACAGTCATTAGTGTCATTCCTGTCATTCTCCTCACGACAAGTATGGCCGCCTAGACAAGGACAGCATTGTTTTTGTCTAACTATTATCTAACTTCACAGTTTAGAATTGACAGATTTCAGTTTCAGAGACAACTTCAGATTTGTTCTAGAACAAATTCGAAAATATTCGACGCCATTTTAATTCATTCCGTTTAGTTTCGTTTTGGAAGTTCAATTTAATATTTCGGCTGAAATTTATAAATATAAAGGTAATAAAGTATATAAAATATATATTACATGAAGAATCCTGGAGAAAATGACGTTTCTGCAGTAGTAGGTATGTCCCATGTATATGAAAAATAGGTAGTAAATAAACACTGTTTTTTACATTTTTTAGATGCAAGAAAATGGTGTTATAATCTCTTTGATCGGCGATTTTTTTCGAAAATGGAAAACAATTTACAGCAAGGTAAGATCATTTTTCTGCAGTAGTAGGTATGTCCCATGTATATGAAAATAGGTGAGTAAATAAACACTGCTTTTACATTTTTTTAGATGCAAGAAAATGGTGTTATAATCTCTTTGATCGGCGATTTTTTTGAAAATGGAAACAATTTACAGCAAGGTAAGATCATTTTTTAACTATAGCCAACATTAGTTATCTCCAATATGTGCGATTTATTGTCAATAATGCAATAAATCTGACTGATAATCTGATTATGTTATCCGACTAAAGTCTCTTTTGCATCTTTTTGATTTATAAGCCAGGTTCTTTGGGAATAATGGACGCTTTTTTAAACAGTATATTTATATTT